CCTCCAACACTGGCCGTTTCCACTGTTCATTATGAAACAACTGACTAAAATACCTCACTGCCTCCTCTTTCACCCTACTTGGCTCCTCAACCCACCCATCCTCTCCTAAGATACCTGAAATTGATTTTGTGCCCTCCGTGTATGAACACACCTATGGAAAAAAGCAGTATTTGCATCTCCAAGACGAATCCAATTATTTCTTGACTTCTGCTTCCACATAGCCTCTCTTTTCCTCAAAATTTCCCACATCTCCTGAAAACACTCCCTTCTAAGTAACACCTCATTCTCATCTAATTCAATCTCTTCACTTTTTATATCCAACGCTTCAATTTCCTTTGATAATATCCCCCATCGAGTCTCCACATTACCAAAAACTTCCTTATTCCACCTTTTACATTCATCCTTCATTAACTTCAGCTTCTGCTTGCATTTATAAGTCGCCCATCCTTCAACTTGCAAATCTTTCCACTTATCATCTACAAAACTTCTGAAATCTGGATGTTGTTGCCACGCATCCATTACCCGAAAAGGCTTTGGACCCCAATATGTGTTCCTTGCCTTCAGAATTATTGCACAATGATCAGAAACTGACCTAGCAACACCTTCTTGAACCCAATCCGTGGCCAATAAACTCATTTCTGTAGACTTCAAAAATCTGTCAAGTCTACTCATGGAAGATCCATCCGGTCTATACCATGTAAACTTTCTATATCGCAAGCAAACATCAATTAACTTCGTGCTTTCCACAAAGTGATTAAAATCTTGTATATCCTGCGTCTCCCTCATTTTACCCTTTCGTTCTGATACATTCCGGACAACATTAAAATCACCTGCTAACAGCCAACACCCACCCTCTTCTAAAACTCGTCCAGCAATCTCCTCCCACAACAAGACCTTCCTCTGCCTATCACAAGGAGCATACACATTGATTACATTACATTTTTTCCTCTCCTTACCGCATTCACCAGAAACCCCAATGAAGCCACTCCCCTCTATCACACATTGTTTAATAAAACAGCTTTTATTCCAAATGCACAACAAGCCCCCTGAGTTACCCATTGATTTCTGCATAACCCAATCAAAATTTTCAGAGTTCCACAATGCCCGACACAAAGACTCCTCAACCTCTTCCAATTTAGTTTCTTGAAGAAACAAGAAATCCAGATTCTCCTTCTTAACTACTTAGTGGGTGTTTGGTGCAGCTGGTCGGAAGACCTTTTGAAGTCCAAAAGGTGCAGCTGCACCAAACACCCTAACTTTTGAAATGAGTTTCAGCTCCCGGGAAGCAAAAGTTAGCTTCCACCTTTTGAAAATTGAGAAGTAAGGAATTTGAAGCTTTTGCGGGAGCTTCCAATTAATGAAATTGACATGTTATACCTATTTTACCCTTATATCTTAATAAATTTACTACTAAACCACGATATATACCTCCTTATTTATAACCCAAACCCGTTTTTTCTTTAATTCTCATCTTCTCCACCTGCCGATTTCCTCTGTTCCAGTTTCGAAGCCGTTGCTTCCATCTCCTTCTTTCGGTCTCTTTTCTTCTTCATTCTCTGCTTGTTGGTTGGTAGTGTAAGTTGG